ATTGTGCTAGCACATCCGGCATGTGTTGAACAGGAGAAAGTGAAATATTTGTTTCATCACTGATTAAATATGAAACTATTTTATTTCTAGGTTTATGAGAAATTACTTAACCTCTTAATCCCTAGATAATCAACGTACACATTTAATTGGTGATCTCTACTTTGATGTCACAATGGGAGATATTCCTATATTGAGTCAAATGAGCCCCAGTGCGTTGGGTAGAGACACTAAGAATTAATAGGTGGAAATTGATTATCGAAAGGAATTCGCATCTATGAAATATGGGATTGAATAATGACCCTTGAGTAGCTTATGAGTTTTGTTTATGTCAGAAACTCGGCCGAGTGGATTTCGTATCCGACATACACAAATAAGTTAAGCGGGAAAGACTCAAGATAATATGCCAAGCTAATTTATTTTCAGTGAATAAATTAATTGGTGGTCATTTGATCTTCTTAATGCGAGGGGAAATTAAGTAATGATTAACGGAAGCTCGAAATGTAATTTTGAGAATACAATCGGGAGTCAATAATTATTTGGTAGTGGAAAATAAATAATTATTTAATATTTAATTAAATGATTTTTTTAGAATTTGGATTTAATTAAATGTTAAATTGCTCGTATTGTATTTTCTCCTTTAGTCCCTATTGTAGCCCAATGGATATTTCTAATTAATTGAGAAAATATAATTAAATCAAGTTAATAAGGTGAAAGATAAATTGGAAAATTATTTGGCTAATTTAGCCTATAATTTTCGGCCATAGCAAGAGGGGAAGAGAAGGAATTTTTCCTTGGACTCTTTTCCTACTTGGACTCCTTGTAGAATCTTTGGAGATAAGATGAAGGAAAATTGGAGTCTTTTAGGACTCAAATTTTCGGCCCCTTTGCTAGAGTTGGAGGAAGATTTAATTATTAAATCCTTCTCCTAGTGCAACTCTTTCTAGACCCTTATATATAGTACTTTGATGGAAGAGAAAAATCACTGGTTCCATAACCTAGTATAACGAAATCGACAGGGAAGATAAATTTATTGACTTTCACTAGCACATTCTCTAAAATACCTTTTGGGCAAACTAAAGATCTATCGGCTAATTGAAGAGTTATAGCCGTCGGTTCAATTTCTCCTAACCCAAGATTTTTAAAAGTGGAATAAGGCAAAACATAAATCCCGAATTTTCTGAGCAGTCTTGCGAAGAACATCACCATAAATCAACCGTTAGTCGGATAGGCACAAAATTTATACAGTATCTTCCTAACCCTTAGATCTACAACCCGTCCGAAGGGTTTCTCGATCAGATCAACGGTCGCGGAGATATCGCAGAAGGAAGAGGACTGGAAATTTCTGGACAGCAGCTCTTCGGAGGTTGAAGGCTTGGCGTGGATCCTCGTTCGTGCGCCGAAGATAGTTTTGATCTGCTCTTCGAAACGTAAGTCCATAGATTAGATTTATTCCGCTTTAATTGAATCAAATCTATGCATGCTAATTAAGATTTAAAAATCGGCTAACCTAGAACCTCATACGAATTTTCATTGGCTCCTGGGCTTCACATCCCAACATTTTGTACCCCTCAATTAGGTATATTTGGCACTTTACACTCCAAAATTGTAAAAACAACGCTTTACACCGTTAATTTGATTTTGACTTGGCAAGATGCATTCTCTGACAATTTATACTTCAAATTTTCATATGAAAAATGATTTCACGTTAATTCAAAGGATATAATGATCTATTTCTCATTATGTCTTTCACTACAAACACACCCGTATTTCTTGTTGTCAAGAATCTAAACCACTTCTCATTTTGGTGTAAAATATAGGGTCTGCATGTCTTTCCAATGAGCACTAGAATATTTATTTTTCACTGTTAAAACACTTCTTTTGTCAAATCACTAGTTGATTGTCGTTGATTTTACTTTAACATAAGAATACATCAAAATTATAAAGTATTCTATTAGTTGTATTACTTATGAGATTATGTTGCAAAAACAAAAGTATTAAGTTTAAGCCAATTCAATGCAGGAAAAACAAAAGAGAAATCGTAGGATATCAATCAAAAATAGAAACAAACGCTAAGTTCTCAATATCTCAATATGAATTTTAGCTGCATCAAATATTTTTTTTCTTTTTTTAGCAACTTAAATGGGGATAATGGAAACTGAGATGATGGAGTGGAGGGTTTTTGTCGACCAAAATAGACTATTCTACCCACGTAATTTCGTGTAAAACATTTTTTATAGAAACAAAATTTTGCCAAGCAAAAGTCAAGAGTAAAGTGCAAATTTTGTAATTTTAAGGTGTAAAGTGGCAAACACAGTTAGCTAACTGAAATGGTTGGAAATTCCAATTACCCCATTGCATAAATAAATACTCTGAAAAACACATTCCCTCGTACAAAATGGGACTCGATCATTCAACTATTAATGAGTAAATAATTACCCTACTTGTGCATTCTAAAGAAAACTATAAAAAAATTGGATTCCCTTATACAAAATGGGTCACGATCATTGAGGTATTGATTTCTTTACATAGATGCATACAACGGTAAGAAAAATACAAAAGCTTTATACTCTATATATGTACACGCATTTCAATACATTATTCTTACGCCACTTCTCAAGAACATGGTGCATTATTTTGTATAACGTTAATCTTATGCCACTTCTCGTGGTTGTTTTTACTTGTTGCTACCCATATTGCTTGCATCTAATATGACCATGCATTTAGGGGTTCGGTATACTTTATACTTTTGTTTTCTCTGTGATAGATTGAGAAATTACGTAAATTAGTTCATGTTGAACTATGAACAAATTACCCGCATCTCGCGAGATTTATTTATTCAAACATCAAATAAGGATAAGGAAATATCTTAACAAATGAAGAAGAAAACTTGAAAAATGATGAAGAAGAGTATTAACCGAAATAGTGACCAGAAACTACAAAATTTACAATGTATTTATTACTAAATAGAGTGAGACTTCATTGTATCATAAGAATTTAATAATTCTGCCACTACAACAATAAAATTTCAAAATATTCCTATACCTTAAGATGAATCTAATTAGTAATTTCAAAATTTTAAGCTAAGCATTCAGACAACTGACGAACCAAAAATGGCCGAAATTGAGAAAGCACAGTTTTCCTGAATTTGTGACACTCACTTGAACCGAGCTCCAATTTCTGATATATTGCATGTATTTTTTGGTGAGAATAATATTGCTGAATGTGGACTAATAGATCAGATCAGTGTATGATTGAGTGCATTTATGCATAGTCACACATTTAATATGTAATTATTGAAAACTCAATATCTAGAAGTGGACGATTAGCCATGATAATTCAATTAAGTCCTTCAGTTATTCCGTCAAAAAAAAAATCGTCGGTTACATTGGGATTTATTAATTAATGACCAAGAAGGAGGTATGAAAATTTTGATGTCTTAGAAACAGAAACATTGCTTTGGTATCTGAGAGATCAATTTTTTAAATGTTGGGTGAACGGTATCACAAAATAGAATATTATATGGATAAATTCGTGCAAAGTTTATCTAAATAAAAATTAAATAATGGAACATTTAGCATGACTCGTGCAACGCACATGCACATGACTAGTGAAGGAAAATATAGAGAAAGCCAACACCTCTTCTAAGTGGTTTGTTAAGTGTATATTTTTAAACTTTATCGTATCTTTTTATTTGAGCTTTTTGTGTGAATTAACGATAATTGGTGCTTAAAAAGTTGATTTATTGTATTCTAGGTACAAATTGAAGAATTGGAAAAGTTTGGGGTCAAAACTGCAATTTTGGAGAAAATATGGGCCACAAGTGAAATAAACAAAATGCTGAAAATTGGCTGAAAATGCCCGCGCGGTCGTGCCAAATTTAGCCTATTTTTGGCACAGCCGTGCCAAATGCAGAAGTTGGGCAGAAGGTTTCGGCGATTGTCGTGCGGCCGTGTGAGATTTTGACTGATTTTCGCGCGGCCGCGCCAACACACACTGGATACAATTTTGGACTTTTAATCACACAAGGAAACCTAGAATCACCTACCAAGTTGGGAAATCTATTTAAGCCCAAACCAAGCACGAATCAAGGATTTTTCGGACACAACCTTGGAGCGAGAGGAGCGAGAGAACGAAGAATCGAAGACGGAGAATTGACAACTCTTCATCACAATTCTTCTTTATTCTATCTTTTCTTAATCTATGTGTTTTTATATTTTTATTATGTTTTTCGTAGAGAACATGTGTAGCTAAGTTTTTAATCTAAGATTTTGTTGGAACCCTATGTGGGGATGGTGAACCCGTTTTCTTGAGATTATGCAATTATGATTTTATGATTATTTCTTATACTTGTTATGATTGTTAGTGCATGAACTTGATCAATTTATGTGCTTTATCTGTGATTATTGGGATTGACTCGACAGAGCTATTTTGATAATTAGACGGTAAGTATAAGAACCTTCCGGATGAGTGTGTCAATTGCATGTGGTGTCGTAGACATACAGATATCACCTTAGGTAGCCATTTACGAGATTTGTTAGTTAATGCTTTATTCATAATTTGTTTACATAGACATATAGTGAACCGTTTATGAATAATAGACTCATAATACACGCGACAGCGGGTTATGAGTAAATTAGTGTCTCGGGTTAATAATCATGAATCATATATTTCATAATTGAGGGGTTTTGGGTGTTTAATTGCTTTCATAATTAGTTTAATTATTTAGTTGATTAAATTTGACAACTTTGCGTAGGCTGGATAAAAATCATAATTGTTAGAATTTGGTACTTAGGATTAGATAATTTGAGTATTCCCTGTGGGATCGACATCCGACTCTCACGAGTCCACTTTTACTACTTGTTTGCGATACGTGCACTTGCGTGTTGGTATTTAGCCGTAACCTGGTTGAAAATAATGTTTGTTCATCCAACTAGGTACATATGATGCCATCATTTCTACTTTCAATCATGTTTCCTCTTGTAATTAATAAGAAACCAGGAAAGTGCTTCAATATTTACTTTAATTAACATATATCCCATAAACAGAAAAAGTACAAATTTCAAAAGGGTTTTCTAGTCTCTGTAATTACAAAGAAAACCCTCTAAAATAAAAGAGTAAGAAAGTTTCTATGCATTGAGAAGCATGGTAACATGACTAGTAGCAAAAGAAGGTGAAATTGGTCTTTTGGAAGACCTCTTTGTAATGGTAGCCTTCGGACCAAACTTGGCGTAATAATGATTCATCAAAGTAGTGCCACCGTAGCTCTTGCATGGCTTCATTCTTGTGCAGTAACTCATATCCTTCTTTGCAAGATCTTCCACACTCTTCACATCTCCCAACGATGCAAAAGTTTGTGATTTCCCGTTATAGAACTTTGATAAACTCCTTCTGCACAATATAGTTAAACCTTTATAAATTAATACAGTCCCGACTAGCAAAATTCTATAAATTTAGCGAACTATTAAATTAGCGAACTAAGAAATTACTCCCTCCGTTAATTATTTATGCAAGATTATTAATTTATTGATTATTAATTTATCGAGGTTGGATTGTATTCATTAATTATTAATTAAACCACACATTAGTTAATTAATTAATTAATCAAAAACACACACATGACAGATACAACACATATAGTACATACATGAATTAAAATACTTACTTAATGGGTAGTTGGGCCATGAGTTCGGTTAATTGATAAAGAGGACCGCTACAAAGTGGTGCATTATTAGATGAAGTTGAAGAAGGTGACGATGATGCATCATCTGCTAACTCTGATGATGACGACGATGATAGAGAGGAAGAAAACGATGATGACGTCATTGAATCACTGTTATTGGAGGATGTTGATTCCACGTCAGCATATTCTTGTTTCGTGATGGATGCCCAGTTTATAACTTGCTTTGAATCATTGAAGCCCATCTCATGAAAATTTTGCTAATCTTGAATGAATTTAAGTATTGAACAAGTGAGAGAGAGAAGAATAGGAGAGAGATCTAGAGAGAGAGAGAGTGTGTTTGAAAGTATGTAATACAAAAGTAGCTGTTAACTTTAGAAAAGAAAAATTGAATTATATAATATGTGGCTGTTAGGAAGAAAAGAAAAATTGAACTATCAAATCGATGCAATTATAGTAGAAGGGGGTAAAGTGATATCGAGCCAAAGTACAAGGAGGCAAATTGATGAAATTGAGAGTAAGAGGGGGTAAAGTGATATCGAGCCAAAATACAAAGGGGGAAAGTGGAATTTATCCTGAAAAAATATTGAAAATGACATAAACTTACAAATTACATAGATTAGACATGCAAGAGCGCAAAAATAGCACATGCACAATTAATATTTAGAAATAATAGCTAATCACCTCCTGAAATTCTCAAATTTAATTCATTGGATTCTAACTAACGAATTTTCCAGATTATGAAATTATTTTGCAGTTTCATTAAATATCGAATTTTTTTAACAATTAAAATGCTAAGAAAGTAGTTATTTTTCAAAAAATATTTTTCTTCAAGAATATCTAATTAATACATGACCAAGTACGAAATAAATTTATTCCCACACATCATGCACTGTATTTTGAAGATATAAACATATTCCAAACTGAAATTTATAGAAAGTACAGATTGGTCCTCAAGATTCATAGATCTACACATGCAACCACCAAATATCCCAAAATTACATTTTCTTTTGCAAGAATTCCAAATATCCGAAATATTTAAACCTTGAACCAAAAAATACTTAGATTCATAGATTATAACATAGATTAGACATGCAAGAGCAAAAATAGCAAGATTAACACAAAATTTCTTTTTTTACACAAAACCCCCTAATTTTCGAAAAGTGTAGAAATCATTTAAGTACTTTTGAAAACTCTTTTTCATACCATGATACCATTTAATTGCAGCAAGATAATCCCGATTTCTTTCTTAATGCCAAAAAGAAAAAGGGTTTTTAGCCAAGAGGAAAACCTTCAAAAGAAAAGAGGGTTTTTAGACGAAGAACAATGAAGAAATGAAGATATTTTATTGAATATAACCTTAACTCTTTTAGGAGGTGGTCCAAAACCAAACCAAACTAGAAGAATGGAGAAGGAAAGAACTCTGATATCAAATTGAGAGGAGTTTTGCTCTCCCGTTAGAGGGCAAGTGTTATTTGTGGTGTTTTTATCATATTCAATAGTGAACGTTATATAGGGGATTTGCATCATGAATTTTTCTATTTTATTCATGGAAGAAATAAATGTGTTGTCTGATGTAGGTGGTGGTTTTTGGGTGTTGATGAAGAAGAGAAGACAAATGGGTATGGAGGTGTAAAATGATGAAGGTGGAAGAGTGTCTATTGGGATACTGGCATGCTTGAGTGTAAGATTAGTGTAAATCTTCACACTCTGACATGTGTACAAGCATGCACAATTTTAATTTTATTTTCTAATTATTAAAATCTCTAATTTTCTTTCACACATGCGCGTGCATACGTGTATATGCATTTATCATGCATGTGTTTATGCATATTTATTATTATTATATGCTAATCATGATTAAAAGTCATACAATAATCTCACGTAGAAATAAAATTACATAGATCACAACATAATTAAATCCAAGTAAAAATAAGTAACTATAGCACATAGAATATTTAAATTACTCACATAAATCGCGTAAATCTGTTTGCCACACAGTAACCTACTAATCCAGCACATAAGATACTTAAATTAATCACGTAATTAAAATCCCTAATCATTCTTATACGTAAGAATTTCAGGTTTATGGAAATTTGGTTTGGGATTAAAGTTTCGAAAATGTGGGGCGTTACACACACAAACATGCACACGAATCATTAGTAATAGTTTTTTTTATTTTATATAAAGGGTGAATTTTTTTAAAAACATGAAAAAAAAAAATCAGACGAAATAGACGTTTTGATGCAAATGGAACAATAAGAGACGAAGTCCACCAAGAGCCACTAAGCTTGCCAAGCGGACCAATCACAAGGCTTAGAGCCAAGCGTTTCAAGGAAGCATTATATGGGCTGATTCAAGAAGAAGTTGAGATGGCAAACAGTTGGAGGCCCAACATGAGTTCAAATCCATGTAAAAGTCCATTCGCAATTCAAATGGACCAAATCAGATTGGAGGGAAGTCAATCACAAAGATATAAGTTATGGAAGGATCTAATTGAAGCAATCACGTTTTTCAAGGATTTGGAGAGTCCTTCACTTGTGCAATTTCAGCTTTAGAATATCAAATTTCTGATTTAGATGTTTCCTTAATTTAGAATCAATAATTGTTAATTAGATTGGCTGATTTGTGGCTGATTTGATTAGATAGATAATAATTCCTTGTTCTTAGTTTATTTCCATAGATTAGAGAATATTAACCCTATATAAAGGGGCTAAGTTGTATGTTTCAGCAATCAATTCAGAAATCATTTTGTGAGGCATTAGTATTCTTCTTTCTATCTTGGAAGAGCTTTTGAACTTATCAAGTTATCTTGTGGCGTTCAAACAATCAGACTTATCATCAAGATTCTTAAATCCATCTTGAACTCTTGGTGTGGCGTCTTCGTATCCATTGTATTCTTGTTTCGTGATTTACTAATCATTGGGTCAAGGTTTGACAAACTTTTTTCTTTGGAGGGTCTTGGTGTTCCAAAACCATATATTGTTATTGGGTTTCGTCACATGTTGGCGTAGTTCATATCAGTTGGTATCAGAGCCTTGGCTTCAAAGGCAAGAAAAAAAAAGAAAAAAAAAGGAAACAAAATATCTGCGTAATCTTCAATATGGTATCTTTATTCTTGTTCTCCTAGATTTCCATATTCTTTAGCATTTATCTCTATTGAGATTACTTGCATCTCTTAGGACTTTAATTTTTGATTCTTGTGATTTGTTTGATTGATTCTCACTTTGAATTGCTATTTGATTCTCGATTGTTCTTGAGTTCAATTAAGAGTGAAAAGAAGATACAACGAGCGGAAAAAGGCAGAGTCGTGAGAATATAAGAGGGTAAAAGCCGATTGAGTGTTAAACACGAGTGTGAGTGACATCAAATTGAGGGAAACGCGTGAGGGAGTATGTTGGAACCACGACTGCACTTCGACGATTGATTAAGAAACTTGTGGATGAGGCCTGGACTCCATTAGTTCTTTAATTTTATAGGTAACAAGTTGCTACAATAAAAAACCACGATAATATGGAGATAGGCAAGGTGAGGCGCGGACTAGGTCGCTCTCTTAAGACGAATTTCACGACCCCTTCTCTAATGAGGTGCAAAAAGGTTCTGATCGTGTCGCCTATGGGATACAACAGCCCAGCCTATCTCTCCGCTGTAACTTCACCGAAATTGCACGTCCGAGTGAAATAGAAGCTTACACCCGATACACAACAAGAGCTCAACATATGTGTATACAATATAGAAGATATATGATCTTTAGAAATATAATTTTCTCTCTACTCTCATACTTTTACAAAGCCACCAAAACCCTTTTTATATAGTATAAAATATGACCACCATAAAACCTCTATTTAATATATAATTAAAGAAAATATGGAGGTTTTATGAGGCAAAATAATAATTTTGTAGGTTTCAAAATAGTGGTCCAAATGACGTATAAATGTTGTCAAAGACAATATTTATATTTTATAGTAAAATATATATTTTTATTAAAATACTCCAACAATCCCCCACTTATTTTAATAAAATAAGAAGAAGAATAATACTTGAGCTCTTACGGAATATTATGCATAATGAAAGTGAGCAATGCCTTGAAACCTTCACTTAGTACAATATGTTTTTCGTACTAGAATCAAAGTGGACTTAGCCTTGAAATAGTGACCCTTGGGGCACGTTGAATCATATTGCACACATAATATTAAAAGTGTCCCGATCGAAGCTTCTAAAGCCAGCACATTAACGGCCATGTGCTTTACCCCATTTCTCGTGAGAGTTCTAGAGAGACTATAATTCTCATAGGAAGCGGCTCCACTTCCACACTCACAAGGTGAATTCTATCAAGGATGTTTACGTAACTCCAACACCCCACCCATTTGGGCTATAGAAATTCATCAAGAGATCAAAGTCTCAACCTCACAATTCGTTACGAGCTTTATTCGTGACACGCACCATAGGGATGGATAATAAAAGTGTGCACTTTTATCACTATCAAATTGCTTTCAGATTCGTTTTTCTTCACCTAGTTCGTATGATCTCTAGCCCCTAGGCGGTAGTATCCTCATCAACAACTTTACAAAATATATTAGGCTTTAATCAAATCCCCCTCGATGCATTTCAGATAATTTCTGAAATAATGTGAAATATAATTTCACAAATTTAGTCTCATAAACTTTATGGTATATTAACCATTTCTCATATAATTTCACTTCAATTTTCACGTGATTTTTCACATAGCTTCACAGTACTGTATTTTCTTTTAATGGTTCCGGATTCCATTAAAAGATTCTCGCAATATGCCAACTGCAGCTTTTCAATCACATCTATCAATGCGCAAATCATTGATTTTTCACAATCTCATTAATCAAAGCACAAAGCATTTGATTTATCACACATTAGGATTTTACATATCACATTCGGTATCAACCGGCCTCTTCACAGGCTAATGTCAAAATAATCAATCCAAATTGATATGAATTTTCAATTTTAAATTATCGGCATATAGCTCATTCACACAAGGTGAAAAATTGGAATATAATTCCTCTCTTTAAGATTATCAAAATTCAACAATATTGAAAACTTTGAAAAATGTTTCACTTCACAAATCACAAATATATTTGCTAATACATTTTCAGCAAATTTAATAATCACAATTAGGCCTTTGTAAATCACATCAATGTCACATATATGCAAATTTAGGCCTATGAAAGTTACTTGTATAATCAAGATTTCAAATAAAGCATAATTTATCACAATACAAATTTGCAATCATAAAGTGAGCAATTTAAACAAAGATCACGTTAAAATCAATTATCACATGCTCATATAGGTACACACTAAAACTCCCACTATTTCTCAATATTTAAACAATACATAAAATATTTAATAATATGATCATGCTCTCTAAGACCCCCACCATTTCACATCAAATGTTCCAACACACGCATGATGAATTAGATTCAAGATATAATATATCATGCTCATTTCCACAACTAGAAAAAACTATAACACAACCACTAATTCTCCATTTAAATAAATTATTTATTTTTATAATCAATTGCTCTAATAATTCACCATAATTGATATTCATTGATCAACACCATTACCTCATGTAAATATATAAGCCATGCACTGAACACACAAAAATAATATAATAGAACATTCAAAACTCTTCATGTATCACATAAACATTAAGTAACTTAATCAGATAACCAACGAAAACTAAAAAGGAATATGCTTCTTTATCACTCATAAAAAAATGATACATGTAATATCAAAATTACATTTTGACATGCGTGTTATTTAACAAATTTATTTCTAAAAGAAACGGTAAGAAAATCAAAAACCATCAGGAGGTCATAATATGCACTTAATTACACCTTAATCATCACATTACTAATTCGTTACTCGTGTATTAATTACTCAAAAGACAAACGGCACAAAGTAATTTTTTTCTTTTTAGAAAATGAAGGTTGAACAAGTAGTACTAATTTCACAAATCAGTAGATTATTTTTGAAAAAAAAAACTACAATTTAATCATATCCCCAAATTTGGTCAAACTATTTTTTATGATAAGTTAATGCGTACTCATTATACTTCTTAAAACAAATTATGAAACGGTCAGAAACATGTAGGAATTAAAATCTGCAGAAGTGTTCCAGCATAAGAAATTATACAACCACCAAATAATTCACGCAAATGGTTGTACTTCAAACCTCTGCATATTCTACTTTTAATATGACACACGAATCATCAACACAATTAACATGCAATGATATAATCGTGAGTATTATCACATTTGTGAATTTTTCATTCTACAAAGTCTAATTTAGAATCTCGACATTACAACTCGATCTTATTTAATCACACAACTATTCTTATCATGCAATTATTCTTCACACAACCATCACAAACTTATTATTGTATTGCAAGATATCATAATTAATTTGGAAATTAAGAACGTACCAGATTCCATGAATTTCTATTACGAATTCTTTCGATACCTCAAAAACGCGCACAATTTGGCAGCTGCAGCAGTGCTTAGTATTTGGGGCATATCTCTCTCGTTCGATGTCCGATTTCAGTGATTCAAGATGTTTCGAACAGCCAACAAAAATGCCTAAAGCTTTTGTGTTTTTCACACTCTCAAATTCGGATATTATCGGATCCAAAACGGACCTCAAAATATGAACTCGTGGATTGCACAAACATTCACCTACAACAAAAATAAGATCATTAATTTTGTTTAGCCAACACAAGATAATAAATAAAAATGAATTATCTCCCTTTTCATCATCAAGGGTTGCTCTTTTGGATCATCGTCAAAGCTCATCTTCATGGGATTGAAGTTCGTCTTAAATTGTTGGAACCACGGCTGCACTTCGACGATTGATCAAGAAACTTGTGGATGAGGCCTGGACTCCATTAGTTCTTTAATTTTATAGGTAACAAGTTGCTACAATAAAAAACCACGATAATATGGAGATAGGCAAGGTGAGGCGCGGACTAGGTCGCTCTCTTAAGACGAATTTCACGACCCCTTCTCTAATGAGGTGCAACAAGGTTCCGATCGTGTCGCCTATGGGATACAACAGCCCAGCCTATCTCTCCGGTGTAACTTCACCGAAATTGCACGTCCGAGTGAAGTAGAAGCTTACACCCGACACACAACAAGAGCTCAACATATGTGTATACAATATAGAAGATATATGATCTTTAGACATAAAATTTTCTCTCTACTCTCATACTTTTACAAAGCCACCAAAACCCCTTTTATATAGTATAAAATATGACCACTATAAAACCTCTATTTAATATATAATTAAAGAAAATATGGAGGTTTTATGAGGCAAAATAATAATTTTGTAGGTTTCAAAATAGTGGTCCAAATGACATATAAATGCTGTCAAAGACAATATTTATATTTTATAATAAAATATATATTTTTATTAAAATACTCCAACAGAGTGTTTGTGAGGTTTTTTATCATATCTTGCAGATCTCGTAACATGTCACAAAACGGAGGAGATAATTCAACTAAAGAGGGGCAACAACCAGGCATTTCAAAGTTCCAAATGCAAACATTGGTGAGCGAGATGAGGCGGGTGATGAGAATGGAGTTGGAGCAAATTCATGAAAGGATAGAGAAATTGGAGGAGGAGGCAACAAAGAGGCAGCACCCACCTAGGCGAGTGCAACCAACGGCACAATGGGGTGGTGCTAAAGATGAAGAAGAATTAGAGGAACTCGATGAACGTCCAATGAATGGAGGAAGGTTTGAACGTGGGTATAGAGGTGCTAACAATGGAAGAAGGCCCAAGCAAGATGACGATTTGGGAAGCATCAAGGTGACGATTTCGCCATTTCAAGGCAGAACCGACCCGGAGGCTTATCTAGAATGGGAGAAGAAGATAGAAATGGTCTTCGAATGTCATAACTGCTCCGAAAACAAAAAGGTAAAGCTTGCTGCGATTGAATTCACTGATTATGCTATTATTTGGTGGGATCAATTGTTGAAGGAAAGGAGGAGAAATTATGAGCAACCTGTTGAAACATGGGATGAGATGAAGGCCATCATGAGGAAACGTTTCATTCTAAACTACTACCACAGAGAGTTGTTCAACAAGTTACAACGCCTAACTCAAGGATCGAGGAGCGTCGATGAGTACCACAAAGAGATGGAAGTTGCTATGATCCGAGCAAGTGTACAAGAAGATAGAGAAGCTACCATGGCTAGATTCCTACATGGCTTAAATCGTGAAATAGCAGATGTTGTGGAGATGCAACACTATGTGGAATTGACGGATATGGTGCACCAAGCTATCAAAGTCGAACAACAACTGAAGCGGAGGAATTTGGCTAGGAAGGGAACAGGTGCAATCACTTCAAATTCGTGGAAGGCAGCACCTAAACGGGATGAATGGCCATCAACCAAACCTAAATTCGAACCTTCTAAGGATGCCAAACCAGTGTCAACATTCAAACAAGGTAACACTGAACCTTTCCACTTCTAAGAATCGAGATATGAAATGTTTCAAGTGCCATGGCAGGGGACACATAGCTAGTGAGTGTCCTAACAAAAAGGTTATGGTGATAAATGCCCAAGGGGAGATCGAATCGGAGGATGAAAAGGAAGACGAGGTAGATGAGTTGCCATCTTTTGGAGATACATACGAAGGACAATATGCTGCAGAGGGCGATTTATTAGTGGCAAGGCGAGCTCTTAGTGTACAAGGTAAAGAAGAAGAGAACAATCAACGAGAAAACTTATTTCATACTCGTTGTTTTGTAAATGGTAAGGTTTGCAGCGTTATTATTGATGGTGGGAGCTGCACTAATGTTGCAAGTACTGAATTAGTTGAGAAATTGGAGTTGCCTACCTTGAGGCATGCTCGACCATACCGACTTCAGTGGCTAAATAATAGTGGAGAAATCAAGGTGACAAAGCAAGTGTTAGTAGCATTCTCCATTGGCAAGTATGAGGATGAAGTGTTGTATGATGTGGTGCCTATGCAAGCATGCCATGTCCTATTGGGGAGACCATGGCAGTACGATCGCCGGGCAACACATGATGGGTACACTAATAGGTACTCTTTTATCGTTAAAAAGAAACCCATGACACTTGTACCGTTAAGTCCAAAACAAGTTCTTGAAGATCAACTCAAGATACAAAAAAAGAGTGAGAAGTGTAAAGAAAAACAGAGAGATGGTGAGATTGAGAGAAAAGAAAAGGAGAGAAGAGAAAAGGAGAGAAGTGTCAAAACAAAAGAGAGTGATAAAAAAATGAGAGTGCACGAGGGGAAAAGTACAACTTCATTGCAAAAAAAAAAAGTGAGATCAAGAGAGCTTTATTATCGCAACAGCTCCTTATAGTACTTATGTACAAGGAGGCCCTTTTGAGTACTAACGAACTTGTCGGATCATTGCCGAGCAATGTTGTTTCACTTTTGCAGGAATTTGAAGATGTCTTTCCCGAGGAGGTAGCACCAGGCTTACCACCAATTCGAGGAATTGAGCACCAAATTGACTTCGTACCAGGTGCAACAATTCCAAACCGACCAGCCTATCGAAGTAGTCCCGAGGAGACAAAGGAACTTCAACGGCAGGTTGATGAGCTACTGGAGAAAGGACATATTAGGGAGAGTATGAGCCCTTGTGAAGTTCCGGTGTTGCTTGTACCTAAGAATGATGGAACATGGAGGATGTGTGTTGATTGTCGAGCCATCAACAATATCACAGTAAAGTATCGTCATCCTATTCCTAGACTAGATGATATGTTAGATGAATTGCATGGGTCTTGCGTGTTCTCTAAAATTGATCTTAAGAGTGGTTATCATCAAATTAGAATGAAAGAAGGTGATGAGTGGAAAACTGCATTTAAAACAAAATATGGCTTGTATGAATGGTTGGTTATGCCGTTTGGGCTTACTAATGCACCTAGTACTTTTATGAGGCTCATGAACCATGTTTTACGTGCATTCCTTGGTAAATTTGTAGTTGTGTATTTTGATGATATTCTAATTTACAGCAAAAACCTTAATGATCACGTTGAACACCTAGCACTTGTTTTAAAGGTTTTAAGGAAAGAAATGTTGTTTGCTAATCTTAAGAAATGTACTTTCTATATGGACAAACTTGTGTTTCTTGGTTATGTTGTTAGTGCTAAAGGTATAGAGGTTAATGAGGAAAATGTGATGGCGATTCGAGATTGGCCAACGCCTACATCGGTGACTTGAGTCAGGAGCTTTCATGGCTTGGCTGGATGTTATAGGTGCTTTGTTCGGAATTTCAGCAGCATAGCAGCACCTCTTACAATAGTTATCAAGAAGAACGTTCCATTCAAGTGGGGAGAGGAACAAGAAAGGGCATTTCAACTAATCAAGGATAAATTGACTAATGCACCGTTACTTGTTTTGCCTAACTTCACCAAAATGTTTGAAATTGAGTGTGATGCATCAGGTATAGGTATTGGCGGTGTACTAATGCAAGAAGGAAGACCAATTGCATACTTTAGTGAAACATTAAGTGGGGCAGCTTTAAACTATCCTACATATGACAAGGAATTGTATGCATTGGTTCGAACTCTAGATACATGGCAGACTACGTGTGGGCAAAAGAGTTTGTGATTCATAGCGATCATGAATCCTTGAAGCATCTAAAGGGACAGTACAAATTGAGCAAGCATCATGCCAAGTGGGTGGAATTCATCGAAACTTTTCCTTATGTTATCAAATACAAGCAAGGTAAGGAGAACATAGTTGCTGATGCATTGTCACGAAGGTATGTTTTCCTTTCAACACTTAGTACTAAGTTGCTTGGATTTGAGTATATTAAGGACTTGTATGCAACTGATTCTGATTTTGGTAATTATTTTAAAAATTGCACTAATGGGGCATACGGGAAGTTCTATTTGCATGATGGTTTTTTATTTCCGGAGAACAAGTTATGTGTGCCACATTCATCTTTGCGTGAATTACTTGTTCGGGAATCACATAGTGGTGGTTTGATGGGGCACTTTGGCGTGGCTAAGACTTTAGGTGTGTTGCATGAGCATTTCTTTTGGCCACGCATGAAACATGATGTAGAGAAAATTTGTGCAAGATGCATTAGTTGCAAACAAGCTAAATCTAGGCTTCAACCACATGTTTTGTACACTCCCCTACCTATTCCAAATGCACCTTGGGTTGATATCTCTATGGATTTTGTTTTGGGTTTACCTAGGACAAAGAGAGGGAGAGATTCAGTTTTTGTGGTTGTTGATAGGTTCTCTAAAATGGCTCACTTTATTGCATGCCATAAAACTGATGATGCATCGCATGTAGCGAATTTATTTTTTTGTGAGATTGTTTGGTTGCATGGCATGCCAAGGACTATTGTTTCTGATAGAGATGCAAGGTTTTTAAGTTACTTTTGGAAGACTTTGTGGGATAAGTTAGGAACTAAATTGTTGTTCTCTACTACATGTCACCCACAAACTGATGGTCAAACGAAAGTAGTCAATAGGACTTTGTCTACTTTATTGCGTGCAATTATACAAAAAAACTTGAAAACTTGGGAAGATTGTTTACCGCATGTTGAATTTGCTTATAATCGTTGTGTTCATTCTGCAACTAAGTTTTCACCATTTGAGATTGTTTATGGTTTTAATCATTTGACTGCTTTGGATTTAACCCCTTTACCTTTGCATGAGCGTGTTAACTTAGATGGCGAAAAAAAAAGCAGATTTCGTAAAACAACTTCATGAGAAGGCAAGGCAACATATAGAGCGTTGGACTGAGCAATATGTCAAGCAAGCTAATAAGGGGCGTAAGAAAGTTGTCTTCGAACCAGGAGATTGGGTATGGCTACATATGAGAAAGGATCGGTTCCCTCAACAAAGAAGATCTAAACTTCTTCCAAGGGGTGATGGACCATTTCAAGTGGTGGAACGTATCAATGACAATGCCTACAAACTTGAACTACCTGGTGAGTATGGTGTTAGTACTAGCTTTTATGTTTCTGACTTATCTCCATTTGATGTAGGTGATGCAGATTTGAGGACAAATCCTTCTCAAGAAGGGGAGAATGATGCAAATGGAACCATAAGAGACGAAGTCCACCAAGAGCCACTAAGCTTGCCAAGCGGACCAATCACAAGGCTTAGAGCCAAGCGTTTCAAGGAAGCATTATATGGGCTGATTTAAGAAGAAGTTGAGATGGCAAATAATTGGAGGCCCAGCATGAGTTCAAATCCATGTACAAGCCCATTCGCAATTCAAATGGACTCAAATCAGATTGGAGGGAAGTCAATCATAAATATATCAGTTATGGAAGGATCTAATTGAAGCAATCACGTTTTTCAAGGATTTGGAGAGTCCTCCACTTGTGCAATTTCAGCTTTAGAATATCAAATTTCTGATTTAGATGTTTCCTTAATTTAGAATCAATAATTGTTAATTAGATTGGCTGATTTGTGGCTGATTTGATTAGATAGATAATAATTCATTGTTCTTATTTTATTTCCATAGATTAGAGAATATTGAACCCTATATAAATTGGCTAAGTTGTATGTTCCAGCAACCAATTCAGAAATCATTTTGTGAGGCATTAGTATTCTTCTTTCTATCTTGAAAGAGCTTTTGAACTTATCAAGTTATCTTGTGGCGTTCAAACAATCAGACTTATCATCACGATTCTTGAATCCATCTTGAACTCTTGGTGTGGCGTCTTCGCATCCATTGTAATCTTGGTTCGTGATTTACTAATCATTGGGTCAAGGTTTGACAAACTTGTTTCTTTGAAGGGTCTTGGGGTTTCAAAACCATATATTGTTATTGGGTTTCGTCACATGTTGGCGTAGATCATATCAAGTTTCTTACAAAATTTCATGAAATTTATATTTATATCATGATATCATGATTATTGTATTACAATTATTATTGAGGACCAGAAATATCATGATTTATCGAAATTTCCAAATATGAGCAGATGGAATGATCATGAGATGGTGGTTGATCGCAACAAATAATCTTCATGCATGGGGACAATTTGAAATTTTGAAATATTTTTGTCACGATGTTGTCGTTACGTATATGTAGTAATATAATACGATGAAAATAAATACGTGAACAAATTACTATAGTAACACAACACAAATTATTGTCACTCGTCAAATAATCTTCTAACGAGAGTCGTCGTAGAAGCAAAATATGGATCCCCAAAAAAACTAGCAATCCTAACTTCTGTTAGCAAGAAGGAACTATCAAACTTTTCTAAGTAAAACAAGGATCTAATATAAGCTGAAAATCATGTCACCCACGGTATATCTGGTAACGCACTGTGTTTCAAGTGCAACCCGGACATAACAGAAGGATGATTGTACTATCATGTCAGTTCAATGATGAACATGGAAAATTCCAAGCGATTTACCCAAGTAATCAAATCTTAGGAGATCCAAAGGTTTTGTGAAGATATCAGCCAACTGACTCCCTGTGGACACATATGCAATGGACAATGTGGGATCGATGGGTGTTCCGACACTGTTATGTCCCAATTCATCATTTAAGATATAGTAAACATTACTGAATGTATAAAGTAACTTAAGTTGGAATTCTTACATTTCCAAACCTCATATATTGTTTTCTTGGTACCTGGTCTAAGGTACACCATGTTAATGGTGTAACAGTTTGTACTCATTGCTTCTACCCAGACCTTTAAAGCAACATTTGCTGAGATCAGCATGACTCGTGTCATTTGCCTGAATGTCATTTTTTCCCTTTCTCCTACACCATTGTGACGAAGTGTCTTGGGTACAAAAAACTCATGTGACATACCATTCTTATCACAAAACTTTCTGAAGGATGAATTTTCAAACTCCCTTTTTCCTCCAATGCTTTCATGTTTCTCAATCTGAATTCCCTTATCATCCTTGACAACTGGTCTTGTGCGCCAAGCATCTTCATTTATTGAATTGATGAACATCTCCATCCTGGTCTTGCAATATGAATAGTTGTTTCAGGTAAGAAGTGGTGGGCGAGTAGTGGAGCCGCCTTCCATATGAGCGTTCATCGCTCCTATAGAGAAAAAAAAATCGAATTCCCAAAATCACGTACTATGTATGTCTAGTGTGAGGCTCTTGATCCCGATTATTGATTTATATACTTATAGAAATAAATTATTCTAAGTTGTAACCGATTACTTGTTGAGACGATATTATATTGCAACTAGAAGTCTTGTGTTGTCACGGTAATTAAATACTAAAGAATGAATAAATAACAAAATAATTTAATGTGGTTCAGACACAATTGTGCCATACATCCACGAGGACCTGCACGTGTTCACTAGTTCAGATTTACAGTGTACATTTATAGGACTTAATTAATAATAAAAACTTTGTCTTTAATTTTTACGACGTTCTTGTACACAACTCGAACTTTGTGTTTTTCCACAGCAGCTCCTCTCCGCGAATCTTGAACCTTTTTCAAGCCTGAACTCCCTTCAGAAACGCGGATGACCTCTCCCTAGATGTAGACATCAACTCTGTATGTATTGGTACACAACAACGATGGCACAATACTGGTTTACAAACTGCCCTGGCACAACTTCGATACGATGAGATGTTTTTCTCCAATAATGGTGTTGAGATCTTCAATGACCTGTGCGGCTTTATATATGCACGAATTTAGCCTCCCAAACTCTTGCTTGATCTCCAAGAAATCGTGTAACTAGGGAAGTATAGTCCTAGCCACTTTCTAACTATATTCTAGATAAGTCCAAAGATACCTAGCTAGAATAAAATACATGGAAATAAATCAAAGTCCTAATTTAAAAATATTACAAAAATAGGACTATAAATAATTCCCAAAAATAAACACTGAACCAAATCTTTGCCAATATTTACTTCCAAGTTTGGTAGATTTCTTCACTCCCCAAATTCAAAATCTTCTACTAACAGTTTGTCACTCCAATTTCAGCACCAAAAACGATGCATTGCCGATTCAATCTCTTTTATCAAGACACATAGAAGCTTAAAGCACCCCATGATATAGGAATGAATAACTTAAAATATTAACTTGATAAGAACATCTTTCCCCGCCTTCGATAACTTCTTTTTCACCCCAACCTTTGATTTTATTCCGAACGAGCTCTGAGGTAACCAAAAACCGCCTTACGAGATGGTCCCATCGATGCCGGCATACACCCATGTACTTGTCATGTTTAACATCGCCTCTTTCTCCTCCTTCGTAGTAGATGCACAAAAATCCATGGTAAATTTATCCAAGTTAATGAGTTGACCCGAGGCAAGCTTATACTCATTAAGAATACGCCTAAGGGGGGACGCACTCAGTGAAGTAGCATGGGAGAAAGTAAGTGTGTCATCCGCGAAGCAAAGGTTCGACATCGGCGGCGCCGTTGGAGCGATTTTGATGCCTTGAATATCGCAACTATCAGCCGCCTGGATCATTGAGACAAGACCCTCAGTGAAACAAATAACGAGATAAGGCGAAAGGGGACCGCCCTTCAATCAAGCTAGAGGGAAAACCGAGACGACTGAAGATTCTTTTAAAAAAACCCCACTCAATACAATCGTAGGCTTTACTAATGTCCAGTTTAATTTCCATAAATTTAGTTCGCTTCCTAGAATTTAACTTAATGAATTGGTTGGTTTCATCAGCCACCAAAACATTATCCGATATAAGGCGCTTCGGGACAAAGGCAGAGAAATGAGATTGCACAAAATTGGTTTCATTCGGTTCGCAAAAATAATAGTAAGGTCCTACAATTCTCATTTTGTTTCTAATTTATCTAATATATATGTAATATTTTGGAAAATTTAGAATGCTTGAATTGTTTATCAAAATTAATTGATTAAAACTAGGAATAATTAAAATTTTATATGTAATTTTTAATGCATGAAATTATGTTTTCTTTTATAATTTATATACAAGTAAATTTATTAAAACATATTACGTACTAAAAGAAAATATAAGCTATAATGAAAATCCATTCAAAGTTAAAATATCATGATATATTGATTTTTTAGTTAAATTGATGTGGGGTCCATGTGTCATGAGATATCATTTGAGGGTGGGTTTTCCCAATTTTATAATGCTTGGGTACAAATCACAAATATAATTCACACGTATTTAAATATATAATTTACACACACAAGTTTGTATGAGTACACTTTAGTACAAATAATATTAAACATAGTTTTAAAATTTTAATATTTATGATTATGTTTTATTATTTATCAAAAATAATTTTAGTAATAGAATATGCTATCCAATCTTAAAGAGGATTTCGGTAATTCACCAGTTCAACAATTCTTGTGTACCATCGAACCATTCCGAAAGTCGAGCCATCATCTGTATTCATTTAATTACTCTATTTCATGTGACCCGACTACGATTTTTGGAAGGTGATGAAGACTAGCGTGATGTCAGGTGATAATGTGATCCCAACGTCAAGCTTCCCAGAGTCTTAATCGATCGTTGTACCTGCAGCACTAGGAGTGATTATGCCGGTATAGAAGCTCCGACGATCAGTTTCAAATGTATAGATATGTTCTTTTGTATGTTTGTAAAAAATTGTTACGTCATAAAAGTTTGATTGAACTACCTTTTTATAGAGATTTTCTTTCTCGAGTCCTGAGACTTTTCTTTTAGGGCTTTTAACATAACTCTACTTATTTGGGCCTGCCGCCCTCAATGGGCTTTTAAGGTTAAGTGGATCTTAACTCGCCTTAGACACCGAGGTAAGGATGGTTTTTTTTTCCCAAGACCTCACTTCGGGTCCCGACGTAAGGTATAAACTAGATTCGTTTCTTAGGGTTTTGATGTTCTTTATGAAACTAAGATCTCTTTCTTCTGGGCTTTCTCGCTCTGATGGGCTTTTAGGGCTGCCTTTCTCAATTTTATGTAATGTCATAGCGGTGAGGCCCATCAAGGTGAAATGGTCCATACCAACTATTCCCCTGTACTAAACAAATTGAATTTCAAATCCAGAGTCATAAAGTCCCGCCTTTTTCGAATTGACCACGTGTCTCTTTTCTAGAGGCTGCTCAAGGCAGCGTGTGTAAGTTAATGCCTGACTGCTCGTATATCGAGCATATCATTTATTGAATCATGCGGGAGGCATGTTTTACGATAATATATGTACTTTCATTGATCTCATCCGTCCATTTAAGTGGCAATATCTTTTG